AGAGTAGCGAGCAAGATTTTTGGGAGAGAAGCCACTGACAAATTTTAGCTAATGTTTTCTATGGAGAACAATTAAATTAAACTCTAGCTATTTCATTTAATTTAGATTATTAGTTTGCTATTATATACAATTTTTTTTTTTATCATTTGGTGCATGCCTCATTAAAAAAAGTGTTTTACCTACTGAGATTATTTGAATACGTTTTACAAAATTAAAGTTCATTTGAGAAAAGTTATAGTAATATACATCAATTGTGCCTTATTTATATTATGTTCTTTTAAATATATGATATTATAACATGTACTATTTTTTTATTTTTTTTTAAAAAAGCACAGGTAAAAAAAGATTATGAATAGCCTTCAAAACCAATTCTCCCTGTTGCCATAATTGTAAGTGTAAAGAGATAGATGAAGCAAAGCAACATTGAAAGAACAATAAGACGGTAACACCAATAATTGAAACACATTATGTTTTTTTCTTTCATTTTGAAATTTGTAAAAACCATCTTTTTCAACTTAGGACTCTATAAAGTTTGGCACAAAAGCTACACATTGCATCACGCGATTGATCAATACAAAAACTCAAGCTGCCCAATGAAAGTAAATATCTTAAATACAAAATAGGTGATTTTTAGGCTACAATAATATTATATTATAGATACTCCAATTGAACAAAAAAAGCAAAAAGCTAAAGTACATATTTCAGCAATGAGTGGTTGTGGCTGGGAGAATAGTCACAAGTATCATCTTCTTTTATATTGTTGACCATCACAAACTCCCTCCAACCTGACAACTTGTCTCATCATCAGTACAAACTCTTAGGATTATAATGGTTTCCTCGCAATTGATAAATTTCTTGAAAAAGTTAAAACAGGTATATATATATATATATATTTACAAATTAATGTTAAGCAGGCTGCATAGTAACAATAAAGTGTGGATTCCAATTTGACTTGGAATCCTCTTATATAATTCAACAACAGCAGTAAACAAGAGTTTTAGTTACTAAAAAATGGAATTACATTACATACCTTTTCCTTTATAAAACTTGTCCTTGTTAGTATCCTCCCCTTTCTCAAGCTTCACGTCTTTGCATTGCTTGCTGCGCAGTTGATACCTACGACGTAACTTTTCATGATCATGTCGGATAGTGATCGTCCTCTTAGTTACCGAGGGATCCACCACTGCTATTCTGTTGCAGTGTTCTACATTAAAAATAAATAAATAAAATTGTCATCATTACTCAACATGATGCATAAATCTGGTAAAGTAAAAGTTACTGAAGTAGAAAAATACCTTCCAGGTCTTTTGTTTCCGTCTTCACCTCTTTTAGTTGCTTACGGTGCATCCAAACTGGTATCAGTTTTCTTCTTACTATGCTAATTCGTTGACAGATGGACTTCGTTGCACTGACCTGCCAAAACAGAGAAGAACAAAGAATGTTGACTGAACCAACAGCATGGGAGCAGAACAAATAGTAAAACCAAATGACCTTTATCGCCCACTATACGTTCATGTCTATATAATTGATCTGGGAAGCACTTAAATCAAATATTAAGACATCGAAATGAGAGTTTCCATCCTTCTTTGAAGCATTTGGGGCCATTAGAGTCATGTAATCTAACTTTCCATATTGTGCCACTAGGAACCTCAAGAAACACAACATATCGCAGATTTTGATTACAAATTCATCTGGAATGTGTGCTGTATAAATCACACGCAAATTGCAATGTCAGACTAATTTATGGAAAAATATGTGAATGGAAGTTTTGAAATTCCAGTGTAGAAATGAAAAAGCATTGCATTTTAACTTACTAAGTTAGATTCCTGTGGAAAGATGAATTTGAAGAGCTGAGCTCACATTTTAACTGCTTCTCTTCTGCGTTGCAGTTTTCAATCAAATTACAATTTCGCAAACTCCACTCCTTTTTATCATTATTATATTATATAATCTTGTCACTTTTCAACTTCCCAATTTTTTAATATTTCTTACTCAAATTTTAATTTTTTTTCCCCCCTAAAATTTCGTGTCAACCCATATTTGCAATTTTAAACTTTTTGAACGAAAATTTTATAAGCCAAGTAAATTTTTAAATTTTAACGCTACGAGGATTCGTTAAGGTTATAATTTAGGGGTATTTAACTTGAAATTTGGAGATAAATTTAGACGATTATAATGCTCGTTATCAATTAGCGGAGATCGTCAATATAAATTTTAACGTATATGAGGTCGGGTGTAACTCACATGACATGTTTGGCAAAACGAATTGGCTTACCTGTGCAATTTATCAAGTTCAAGGTTTACTTAAAAGGTCAAATTTGAGTAATTTTCGTTTCCTGGTCCAAAGTGGATCAACGAAAAAAATTATCAATAATATATTTCCGAAAGACTTTATTTTAAAAAAAGAAAAAAATCTACTAGATTTAAAGATATTGTATCATCTTTAATTTCATCATCAACACAGTCTAATCTATATGTTCTTTTTTTAAAAAAAAAAAAAGATGCACCAAATGTCTTTGACAAAAATACAATTAATGATATATATTATTAAGAGATAATGAATATTACAAGGATTTATAAATAAACAATGAACATTACAACCGAGTCATTTAATAAGAGAAATTACATTACAATGGATCATACATCATACAGTACACTGTATTTATAATGAATGTATAATATTACTTCAATAAAATAATTGATAGAAAAATTAGTAATGTAATCAGAATCAACTTTCATTGAATCTTAAAAACACACTTTAAATTAATGAATATTATTAATTTATCAATTAAATACAAGATAATAACATTTTGTGGTCTTGACAATATGAATTTAGAGAGATTCTAATGCATGCAATTAGAAAATTAAGTTATGTCAAATTCGAACACTAAACTTTATACAAAAGCATAGGCCAATGCTCCCTGCCAACATTCTAAGTGTGAAGAGAGAGATGAAGCAAAGCAACTTTGAAAGAACAATAAGACAGTAACACCATTAATTAAAAGATCTTTTGAAAGTTTGGCAGCTCATAACTTACAAAAGTTCTATAAGAATCACATTATGTTTTCTTTCATTTAGAAACATAAGAGGGTGGCTAAAACCAACTTCAACTTAGGATGCCTTCTTGGATTTATACATTTTGGCACAGAAAACATAGATTACTAAGTTGAAGAAGCTAAGTGCAGCCAAAAGCCAGAAGAAATAATCAAGATGCCCACCGTTCAAGTTGTTTGGAATCCATCCAGGTTTGCCACCTCGAGTTGTAATGGACGTTACTACAGTCAGGATGAAAGAGCTCAAGTAATTACCCAAAGCAGTTGTCAGCAGTGACAATGCACTGCACAAGCTACGCATTGCATCAGGTGATTGATCATAAAAAAACTCAAGCTGCCCAATGAAAGTAAATATCTCAGCTGCACCCAGTATAAAATATTGCGGAATCTGCCAAAAGATACTGAGAGGTACTGAAACGGCTTCATCCACCAATCCAAGGTCTCTTGCAAGTTGTAGGCGCCTGATCTCAACGATAGCAGCAGCAGACATGCACAACATTGAAAGGAAAAGTCCAATACCCATCCTCTGTAACTCGGAAAATCCCCTCTCTATTCCAGTAAACCTCCTTGCAATTGGAACAAGGATCTTATCATAGACTGGGACCCACACAATAACACTAATGGTATCGAAAGTAGAAAGAGATGCTGCAGGAATTTTGAAGGAACCAACGGCAGTGTCCATCACCATCCCTTGCTCCACAAACATTGTAGACATTTGTGCATAAACAGCAGAAAAGACTATACCAGTTGCCCATATCGGAAACATGCGGATCAAAATTTTCAGTTCCTCAACCTGCGTAACAGTACAGAGCCTCCAAGCATTGGAATAGTCCCCAGTCGTCAATTCGTTGTCTGAAACTACAGCAGCTTTGTCGAGGCACCTGAAGAAGATAATGTTATGCAGAAGATCCAAAAGCATGCTAACTGAATCCTTGCAGGAAACTGAGGATTGATAATTTGAAAAACTACAATAAACCAGAAGATAACAAGGAGCAAGCATAATTCTAAGAAGTTGCAGTAAGTTCAACATTTGCATGATACGCAGAGGATTGTGGAAAAATTACTAGGTCCTTCAGTATTATAGCATATATTCATGATTCTGGATTTATGATAATTTCCGGGTAAATCCAATTTATGCACTACTGATTATTAAAAACCTTAAAGCAGTAACATGATAGAGATGCTCAAAGAACTCATTTTCACACTCAAAGAACTAATTCCACATAATCCCATTCTAAATAATAACATCCGTACCTTAAACATAGTTCAGTATGGATCATCTGAGCATCCAAATATTATTAAAATGATTTTTCATAATTTTTAGTTTGATCTACAATTCAGTACTTAGTGCATATCAATAACATCGTTAGATACTATTGTTCTTATTGTGATAGAAACATAATAAATTGTTCATGTTCTTTCTCAGAGTTAAAAGTTTAAGAACTTGAAGCAGCTGCCTTTTTATTTCACCGTCTTTATGCCTACAGGGTAGAAGGTTCTTTCCTTGTTAGTAAAGTGATTTGGAAACAATTTCAACTTCATCGTTAGAAGTAATTTGGAGAGAGAGGCACAAAGTTCGGAAACCCCAAAGCCTCTTCCCACTTCCACCAAAGAAAAGAATCCTAGAACCCAAGAAAGGAATCACAGATCTATAACCATATTCATAGGACACAAAAATTCAATTTAAAACTTAGTAGACTTTTATCTGTTTCTTTCTTTTTAAGCTTAGGAAATAGTCTGGACTTCCATTTTCAACGCTAGAAATTAATTTGTACCAAGAAAGGTAAGAAGTACATCAAAAACCCAAAGCTCGGAAAAGAATAAAATGTACAAGACGAGAGACGAATCACACAACTTATTACGTTCGGAGATTTCTAAGCTTCAAGCTGGAACTTAGGTGCTTCAGGTGAAGCTTTCAAACATGTAATTACTTGCTTGTATATGTGGATTCCACTGAAAGCTTATTTGTTGTATTGTCTTTGAACAATTTCCCTTCAAACCATGACCCAGACAGTCGAGGGCTATTCTCTTTATGTCATTCTAAAACGGAACTCTGATCTCACATTTGTTAAAACATACAAATAACTGAATAGTAATGATACGTCATCCCTGCCAAAAAACTGATATCCAGATTGTTCTTAATTGTAAGAAAAATTAACTAATAGATTCATTTCTAATATAATTTAATCTAAGAAGTGATTAGAACACTAATTAAAGAAAAATAAACAACCTTGGAAAGAAGAGAGCATTCTTAACATGTTCTATTAAGTCACCATATGGAACAGAAGTCCTTTTTTTAATTAATCATACAGGTTAGGAAATCTAGAAAAATCTTAGAAAGAATCAATACTCTCACTGCATTGCTAACGTGTCCCACAAAGTCGGCATACAAGACATAACTTACTCTTCCAAATAATTGAAAAGGGTCACAAAATTTAAGAAATGTCATGAAATCTAGGCGAGTCAAAACGGAATATTCATAGTTGAACTCAAAGTTCCAATTTTCTCTTTTGAAATGGTAATTCAAAGTTGACATTAGTTCAATCAAAATTTAAATATATGTTGATATCCAAAATTTTAAAATTAATTGTGCTTTTATATTACTATAGATCTTATTTTTATGACAATGGTTGCTAAAACAGGACTAGGAATAAAACTTGCATATAGTATCCTGCGTGAAAAAGGATTGTAATGTAGTGACTGTAAATGAGCTGTTTCCGGCCATATTTTTCGAGAAATTTTCTTTTCCAATCATGTCGCTGAGTCCTTACAACCCTCTTCATCAAGTATCTTTTGGATTATAATAACTAGAACCCTATTCTGGCGCCGGCAGTGGACTTTCCTGGTAAGATATGAATTTCTTCAGCTTTCCTGTCTGTTTTCCAGGTCATTGTCCATTTGATTTTAGATCTCAGGCCACTGCCAGTCTGATATAAGTTTTCAGGTAGCTTTCAAGTCAGATTTCACAAGATGTCTTTCGGATCTTGATATGTTATCGGAACTTCAAGCCCTATGATTACTTCTAAATCATTAATGCTAAGTTCAAACTATTTAGCTTGAGCTTCCTTGGTAGAGTTGTGGTACAAGGGTCAAGGTGTTCAACGTCACTTAATGAAAAAAGCTAGTTAGATAGATGAAAAGATCAAAGAGCAATGGGAAATGATTGATGCTCAATTATGTAGTCTTTTGTGATGATCTGACCTCCCCCTCTATGCCTTGCGGTAATGATTCGTCTGGCATTACGACCTTTACCACAACGACGCTGTCCATAGATCAAATTATTTTGTGGATTGGATTTCACTTGACGGTCTACGTTCTATTGCTTCCAAGTTGGCACTGTTCTTTCGTCCATCCATACATGCTCAGAGTATCGAAAAGACACGCGCTTTATATACTAATGATGTCTCGTTTTCATGACATGATATCTTCAATGACAAACTTAAAGAAAGAAGAATCGGATATGTCAAATTACCTTCGTAAGAGCTTAGTGTCAGTCATTATGAACATCCAAAAGCAACAAGTGGAAAGAGTCGTTTCGAGTTCTTACACTTATTGGACTTCCTACTATATTTGATTCGGTGTGTGATCAAATTTTAGTTAGTCCTACAGTCCCTACAATTGATGAACTATTCTCTAGTTTACTTCGTCTTGCCACGCCTCCCAATCACACAATGGTTTCACACTCACCATTGACTGCTCTAATCTAGCATCTCAAACCACAAAAAATTCATCATCTTAGTCCATGGAGAATCGATGAGGAAGAGTCATTTTGGAAGATCTCAAGGAAAGGGGGAAATTCTACTCCTAAGGGTCAGGAAGTTCATATCTTTCCTAATGACTAGGAAAAATGTTAATATTCTACATGGTCGACC